TGTATATTGTGATATGTTGGGTGTTGTATAGTGTGATATATTTGGTGTAATATATTGTGATGTATTTGGTGTTGTATAGTGTGATATATTTGGTGTAATATATTGTGATGTATTTGGTGTTGTATATTGTGATATGTTTGGTGTTGTATAGTGTGATATATTTGGTGTAATATATTGTGATGTATTTGGTGTTGTATAGTGTGATATATTTGGGGTAATATATTGTGATGTATTTGGTGTTGTATAGTGTGATATATTTGGTGTAATATATTGTGATGTATTTGGTGTTGTATAGTGTGATATATTTGCACACAACTCACACATCGATATGTATTTATTCGTTCATACCTACTTGTATATATCGGAATCCTAAAGATCTGGGTGTATCCATAGAATAATTTTGTCGTTTCAGTATCACATGGTAACAGTAACTTGTCCAAACAATTGCAAATCACCTAAACAACTCACACTATAGTATGCTTTCTTTAAACAAAAGTCTCGTTTCTCCACTGTGAATCGTTAGACTATTTAATTAAAGACTACTACTCAAAGACTTACAATGATTCCTCTTGTGGACATTACAGAATAATAAAATAATGATTAGGTTTGTCGAAATGATTAACTCTGTTTTTTGTTTCTTATACAGTCCATTGATCATGAAACTTGGCGAAAGGTTTGTTTTCTGGGCATTACGCTGTTAATTTATATAGGTTTTGTATGTAACCGATTCTAATCAGTTTTCTTCATAACATATACTTACCTCATTATTTATAATAATAACAAACTTACACTTAATATTGATATTAGAAAATAAAAATTAGCCGTAGAAGTTGTTAATTATAAGATCCTATACAACTTGTTTACACGAAATTCATTCATAAATAGCATTTAGTTTGTAGAGGATATATTCAAAGTTGCTTTGAAACGCTTTTGCAGATAACATTTCGTAACTAAATATTAGAAAGAACTATGTGTTTTTTTAAATTCACATAAGTTTTTAGCGGTTGTACGTAGTAAAACTTTTATTCACAACGTTTCATTAGGTTTACCGGGCATTATCAGGATTCCTTTTTTTAAATTGATATCTGTTAGCCTCAGAGTTCTTGTATATCAGCTGATGATGCCAGGTAAATCTGGTGGAACGTTGTGAACAAAAAAAGGAAAAAAAAGTTGTACTATATACAACCGATAAAAACTTGTGTGAATTTCGGTTAACTGTTGTGGTGATATATTTTGAAGCAAAATTAATAAAACTTTCTTAAACAGATTCTGGCGTGATGTTTAGATTAAACAAGTTAAGATGAATAATGTGTTCAATAATGTTTTAGACAGACTTAGGAGCAATGTTTCCGTTAAACTTCTTGTACAGATAAATCAAATGAGCATTACTTTTCTAGACTATCTCGTTATGTTGGATAAGCTGGTGGTCGATGCCAATTTGGGAACAACGTTTAAGTTAAATGTAGTAGTAGTAGTGATCAAATGGACAAAACTGACTAAGGAATATCTTAGAGGCCATGTTTTCGTAACTTATTCCAACGCAATTTCCATACCTCTCATTCTGTTCATTCCACTGCAGCTACAGCTGTAATGTACAAGCTGTTTTCAAGGGTTTAATAAGCTATGCTTTCTGTATTTATCGAGAGTCCATTATTTCATTTTATGGTTATTTTCTTGTCTGGTTCGGTGTTATTTGTATTATACAGAAATCTTTGAATGAAATGGATAGTACACAAAGGTCACAAGTGTGTCAAGGATCCAATACTCCATCCACCGTTAATGAAAACTATCGATGTCCACCAAAAGAAAACATACTCCAACCTGTTTCAGTTCACAGCGACTCGGAATCTTCCGGTGATGAAAAGCAGAATCCCAAAGTCAACATAAGCCTTATTCCGGTGTTTATATTAGAGACCATCTCTTTAGGAAGTCTAGCAGTCTTGGCATACTTTCTTAGGTAATACTTAACACACTGATTTTCAATTGTAGTTATTGAAAAATCATAAAATGGTGAAAACAAAAGCTCAAATATCGGGTCTTTAATGAATCCTAACTTGTTTGTGGTTTGGTATTCTCAATAGTTAGATAATGGATTACATTAAGTTAAATTTAATCCACCCATAAACGACTGAAATTTTATGTTTCATTAGTTACTGATGTACATTTTTAACATATCCAAATGTAATCACTCCTTTAAGAAAAGTTTACTTCCTCGTCTGCTCTCCATTGGCTCAGCGGTAAGTCTGAGGGCTTACATCGTTAACGACCAGGTTTCGATACTCTTGGTGGACACAGCAGAAATAGCAAGTTGTGTAGCTTTGTGCTTATAAAAATAAGACAGACTTTGAAGAATTTTATTTAACTAAACTAAGTTGAAGTTATAATTTATAAAGAAAACTTTTACATACCACATGATATCACTCAGTAATTTCTTACGCAGTACTGGATCGACAACAGTATCCTAAATGATATTGGTAAAAGTAATTAATTTGTTGGTTTATTGTTGCACAATGGTTGTCTAATAATCCTATATTAGTATGTAGTTATTCAGTGTCGATCAAATGCTGCTTAAAACGTCACCCAGCAGTTTACAGTGAAATTTGATATTTTTGTTAGGGTTAGGTAAATTCAATTAACTGTTCGTTTGTACTAATTCAACCTAAAACGAACTCAAAAGAACTATGGATCATTAGCATATTAATAAAGAATGTATATCACATAAATAAAACATATCATTATAAACAAAGACATAAAATATGGTTGTAACATATAATGGCCAATGAAATTAAAACCATCACTCTTCTATTGTGTGAATCCCATAACCTTTTATTCTGTAGTTTATTAACTTTAAAAGAAAAACATTTGGGTACAAAATTTTCCCCATTATTTCAACATAAATATTTAAGACATATTATGATAATTTTATATCTGACATAATTAATTTGAAATTACGTCAACAATAAAAATAAGTAGAAAAGTAACCAGTTTGTATTACGACTAAAATTATAAGTTGCAGCACTAATCAGTCTAAATGTGTGCTATTTATTATGACATTATTAAATGTGTTTATTGTATGACACACTTGTTGTTACAAAGTTATATGCTTTTTCAGAACAGTATATATGTCGTAGTAATAACTTATACTCATTTATGTATATATAGGTTTGAGGATATTTTTCCAGTAGTTATTCGAGGCTTTATTATCAACGATCCCAAGCTTATGTATCCCAAGGATCCAGATTATGAAAATTCTACGATTCCAGTTAATTTCAGCGACAATACGCTATATGCAACATCCCTCGCCATCCCATTAGGATTAGTAAGTTTCAATCTATTCTAACTAATCAACTACTCGAGGAGATTAGTTCCTGAATCGTGTGAGAAAGGCTTTAAAAATACTTGAAGTATACATGATAACCAAACAACTGAATTTTTTATAAAGATTATTGATGATACATAGAATAATATGTTATTCGTGATATAAAAAAGCTAATTCCGAGAAACTCAAATCATTTCGAAAGGTGTAAGGTAAGATTTATTTGAAAATATATATTTAAAGATAATACTGCAACTAACAGACTGAAAAACTTTGCTGTGGTTTCAACAATATATCTATTTTTAGGAAATTATAGTAGGCCATCTTAGTTTATAATCTGAAAGGTTGGTCTTATTCGAATTAAATGTGAAATGAACAGTTGCAACTGAAATCTCAATAAAAATCAAGGAAAATTCATAAAACGTAATCAAGAAAAAGAAAGGAAAAATTTTGATTTATCAGGAGTAAGATAAAACTAGCCTTTCAGATTTTAAATTAATATATCGATTGTTATTCAACGACTTTTAATTCACTTTTGAAATATATAGCAATGAAAAATTACAAATTTTCAGGTATCATGAAGTCATTTTTATTAGGCTTAGAAAACGTTACTGACTGAGACTAGCGTGGACCTTATCAACACTTTTATAATTGTTTTCAGTCTGCAGACCAAATCATTTTGAATATTAAATGGACAAAGAATCTTTGAAATTTAATATATAATTAAACAAGAAATACAAAAATGGAATACATATCAAAATTAATACACATTTGTAAATCATCCAATTTAAATTGTTTTTGCCATTTTCTATGTAGATTTTGCTTGGAGAAATTGGATACTTTATGTTTTCAAGAAAATCAAGAAAAGTAGTCCGCTTGGGGTGTAAGGGGTTTAAACTACATATGGTCACACGCAGAATTCTTCGCTTCACAGGTAAAAATGTTTTTCTTGAATTACCATGGAAAAAAGAAACGTAAAACGTATTTCAAGAGAAAAAGTTGATTATAGAAACGAGAGAACTGAAACTTGTACAAATTAAAGTTGCTATTTGTAGTCTTTGTTTTTTAAGATAGGCTTTATCTATCTAGCCACCTAATGTATAAATTAAAGTTGCTATTTGTAGTCTTTGTTTTTTAAGATAGGCTTTATCTATCTAGCCACCTAATGTATAAATTAAAGTTGCTATTTGTAGTCTTTGTTTTTTAAGATAGGCTTTATCTATCTAGCCACCTAGTGTACAAATTAAAGTTGCTATTTGTAGTCTTTGTTTTTTAAGATAGGCTTTATCTATCTAGCCACCTAGTGTACAAATTAAAGTTGCTATTTGTAGTCTTTGTTTTTTAAGTAGGCTTTATCTATCTAGCCACCTAGTGTATAAATTAAAGTTGCTATTTGTAGTCTTTGTTTTTAAGATAGGTTTTATTTATCTAGTCACCTATCAAAATTGGTGAATTGATTGAGAATATACTTGAAACCTGCAAAGCTAAAAAAACTACAGAGATATTGTTGTGGAACAATTTCGTAAACAGTTTTTTTTTCGAAGAAAAATAATTAAATAAGCAGCTATTTGAATTAAAAATAAATGTATGTGAATACAAGTTTATCTGTTTTTTGTTAACTTATTAACTTATAAGTACAATAATATTCACTTATGATTACTCTCATTTTTATGAAAACTGTCTTTCTAATATTAGGAGCATTTCTATTTGGGTTGCTTAGTACCAGCATCTTGACCGATGGCCTTAAAGTAGCTACTGGTCGACCAAAACCGTACTTCATAAAAGCTTGTAATGTAACAGAACAGTTTAATAACATGTACGAATTTTATTACTCAAGCGTCTGTGGCACTTCCGAGGAAGATCTTCGAGAGGCTCGGTAAGATACGAAGAAAATTTACTAAATGTGTCTTAATACTATTCAGCTAACACTTCAATAAAAAGTTCTATTGCATTTTGTTTTTAATTTTGAGCTCATGAATCACTTATTGAATATATAGATATTTATACGTGATGTAAAAATGTTATACATCGTAAAATACATTTAAGTAAATTTAAATTGAGCTCTTTTGGGATTGCTTCGCAGCTACTAAGGCATTTTACATCTATACATTTTGTATTGGCTACTAACTTAAAAGAAAACTGAATAGCTAATTCATATAATTTTTGATATGATAATTTATAAGTTCTTGATGTTTTTCAGGTTGAGTTTTCCATCGTTTTATGCCTCACTTTCGGCTTATTCAGGAGTGTACGTAATGGTAAGTCCAGAAATATCGTTGGATTTGTCTATTTGTTTACGTCACTAACAATACACTTTGTTATTTAATACTAGCTTCAACTAAAACTAAGGGGAAACATTGATGTAGTTATGGTTTAGCACGTTCAAATTGAACACGTGTGGTTCATATTACATGACTCTTTTTAGTTACCATAATACAGCTGGACTTCTCTTCTGACCAATATTTGAAGTTTTTAAATGCCTCAAATTGACTATAATTCAAGGGTAACAAATAATTTCGTCAGGTTATCTTTCAGAGCTAATAACCGTTTTCTTCATGGTAACAGTTTGGGCTAGAAAATTGTTCCTTCGGGTTATTGCTATTAAACGAATCTTTCTGGCCGTTATTTTGTGTTATAATTTTTTTTTTCTGAGCGAAAAGTTAAGAATAGTAAATGGTTTTATTTAAATGAGAAGATAAGGCTTGTAGCTTGTTCCTTATCGCTGTGATCTAGTGCTAGTGAATAGTTCTTCTGGGCTAACAGCTAGGCTAATAAACAGTTTCCTGATCTTTCTGTCTACCAGCTAGTGGTCGTAGATTGATCATTCCGAGTACCATGTAAAGCTAGTAAATTGATCCTTCTATCTACCAAATGGGGTTAGCGATTATTCTTACTACCTACTATATAAGGCTACCAAAATATTCCCTCGGGCTAACAAGTTACGAACTAAAGCTAGTACATTATTACATTTGGCAAACGTTCTGAGTTTAAAAATTATACTCTCTGACCAACAACTAAGGTTAGTAAAAGTGTTTCTCTGGATGACAACCATGGTTACTAAATTATACCCTCAGTTACAAACTGGGGTTTCAAAACTGATTATTTGTGTTACCGTCTAAGACTAGTAAAATAGTACTCCATTTCTACCAACTAGGATTAAGAAGTTGTATCTCCTGGCTAGAAGTTTGAGTTCCTAAATTGTTTTTTCTGATTATTAATCAGGGCTACTCGGAAAGTTTTTTCTGGCTAACAACTAGGTTTATGAAATGTTCTTTTTAGCCAAATCTAGGGCTATCAAACTGGGTCTTCTGGCTTGTAACTAGAGCAAGTTAAGTTGTTCTTGTGAGTATCTTCGAGGGTATATATATGTGTTCAAAAACCAATAGTTTAACTTACACTTGTATTGTAAGTTGAATGTTAAAAGTGTAAACTAAACCAAAGTTCAGTAAAAATACCAGAATTTTAAGCATAACTATTTCCTAAGCGAACATAATTTGGCATGTATATGTTTTAAATAAAATATCTACTTTCTGTAATCTACGTTTTTGATAATAGAGAGAAAATATTGCACATAAAAGATAAGAAAAGTTGATAGCGATAGTTGCGTAAATAAAAAGTTTACAGATCAATAAAAAAATGTTTTATGCAATTTAAAAATCTTCAACTGAGCTTAAGGTATATTTAAAACATTAGATCCAATTGTCTCTTGCATATGTTTCATTTATCTCTACAAAGTTTCTCATTCTGACAATTATAGCACTGGTAAAATATATTACTGATTTGTTTTTGTGCATGAAATTAAAAATTTAAAATCTTCTCTCCTACAAATTAGATCTATGCACATTGTGTCCTAACTGTCCGATCGTCCACGATACTCCGTCCGCTTGTAATATTCTCTATCATTAGTTTGTTCATATTGTGTGGAGCGTCACGAATTGTACTACACAGAAGCCACTGGGAGGACGTAGTTGCAGGATGGGTTCTTGGAGGTTCTGTGGCAGCTTACATTGTAAATACTTCTTCTATGACTTTGAATCTAGCTATATTTAAGGTTTGGAACTTTATTAATAGCGGATATTATACATTTTAATCTGATTATATTAGATATAGATGGAGGCTTCTTTAAAGGCAATGTAAGTTATTGTAGAAGTTAAGTACTCACTTAACCACTTTAAATACGAGCTTCGAGTTGCGTACTTCTACAATAACTTACATTGTAAGTACTCACTTAACCACGGGTTGCGTACTTGAAGGTTACGTTATATTTCGCGTTGTATTAATATTTCTCTTTAAATATAAATGCAGGCGGGTGTGTGAAATGACACTTTCGCTAAAGTTTATCAAATGCAACATAAGCTTTGGATAAAAAATTGCAATATTGATAATGAACAAGATTATTTAACGTTATTATTTTTCTTGTGCTGAATTAAGTTGCGGTGTCATAAAATGGACTGGTTTTAATACTTTGAGAAAGAAAACGGTAACTTATTATTTTCAAGTATATCATCTATATGTTTAATTATTAAATACATAGTATTTCTATCACACCATTCTATTGATTCATAATACAATGTCTCATTTCTATAGTGTATCTCCACTTTAAACTGTTTCCATGAGTATCATCAGTTGAGAAGAGAGTGCTGTTCTCACAAAAAGAGAAGCAATTTCTTTCCATTGAAGCGACAGCGTCCTCTATTCTACCGATATTTTCGAATTCCACATGTCTCTTACCAGTATTCCCAGAATCAGACGCTTCCTAACAGTGATCTTAACACAAATTATTCAGAGACTACTTTCCAAAGGACAAACTCTTACCCACAAGATCTAAATCGACCAATAGATATGAGGCAGGTAGATGAAAGATATGATTAGGTGAAACCGTCAACGATGTTTGGAAAATAGGAACACAAGTTCACCACCATCAATTTTCTGTAAAGGTTTTAAAATTTCGAATGATAGGAGCTCGTATACGACTTATTTAAATTATGTAAAATGTGAAACATTATACTTATGTTTTACTTTATTTTAAACTTTTCTAATTATTTGGTTGAGCTAGCTTAGAATCATATAGAATTAAATAAAATTAGACAAAACAGTACTGATTCAATACTGACCCGTGTCGTTCTCGTTTTTTTTTTAGAGTACTATTAAACCTTAAAATATTATAAGGAATTAGTACGTGTTATAGATGGCATTGCTGAACTGTTATTGAGGAACATGTATTTTTGTTTAGGACAACTAATTAGTTTGATGTCCCACATACAATAATCAAACATTGTTGAGCATCTTCCTAACCAATACCACGTTAGCAGCTGAAATTAACATCTTTGAGACTGAAACACCACTCCATTCAATAGCTTATACCAACAAAAAAGCGTCAGTTTTCTACTGAGAAAACCAAAGAAAACAATATAGTGGACTAGTTATTAACAACTGAAAAGCTGGATAACAATTTAGTTCAAAACTTTTAAGATAGTTATGAAACATTTAAAAAACCGTTTCCTCCGAAAAATAACATTTTTTTTTCATTATTTAAAGAAGAAAATTTTATATATGTTATTGATTAAATATTTATGTCGTTCTTAGATTTCTGATGTTCATAATTAGAATTGTTCCTCTAATGTAAATGAAAAGAAAAATAATTACCTAAAATTGAAAAGTTATTAAAAGTTAAAACTTTCCGCTATTACAGCGGAATCTAGTGAGCATATTTCAAAGTTGTTCATTATGTATTACATACCCAAGCTGAAAATCACAACTAAACGTTTTCAGGAAATTTGTGGGGAAAATGCATATCTTATTTATATTTTTCTCTTGTGATTTGAAATTATAAAACTACGTAAACGGCAAGGAAATATTTTTTACAAAATATTTTAACACAACTTCACACCAAGTTCTATAATTGAAATGCAGTTTACTATTATTATTTACTATTATTATTTTATGGCCTCGATATTAACCATTTTATACAGCAAATATTTGATTAAAGACAAAAATAAAAAAAATATATGTTACTATATAATCTGAAGATCTAATTTCAATGCAATTTTTTGTATTTTATGTTTGTTTCTTTAAACTAAATATCTAATTATATTTTCTAATGCAATGCATGCTAGTCTATAAAAACACGTGTTTCACATTCAGTAGAATGTAGAGAGGTCTCTAGAAAATATTGTTAGTCAAAAGCACTTGATGTTTTTATTCTTTACTAATATTATCATCTGCTAATATGTAAACCTTCATTTTCAGTGATTTAAACCGGAATTTATGCTTGAGAATTCGTTGTAGTCAGTTCTTACAATTCGGAAATACGAAAGATGTAATGACTCATTCGAGAGTCATTGCCCTTAACATTTTCATTTATGTTGGAATGTGTTCTCCTAGATTAAGCTTATTTTTATTTGTTCACCTTGAAATAAAATATACATACATTTTACAAAATTAAACATAAAATTAATTAACCTGCGTGCCTTGTGAATTTTTTGTCTCGATTTAAGTATGTTTATATGACACAAAAATATAATTATTCACGGGAGTGACTCACCAAGTAACTGAAAACCCATGATTATATTTCGCGGAAGAAGAGTTACGGGTCTTTTTGGAAGTTTCATTACTAGCTCTAGCTAATATACAAAATAATTATTTTATGTGTATTACATAAAATATTTGTTCTTGTTAATACAGTGTACCAGTTCTGAGATACGAGGTGGTAAAATATGCTTCAATGTTCTACTTCTAATATTTCTTTCTCAACCAACGAGATTTTATACTGCATAATAACGAGAGATAGACTACTATTGAAACTATTGAGAAAGACTATAAAACAAGAAATTTGAATAGGGGCCACAGAAACATCCTACAGATAACAGGAAACCAATGACCACTAGAAGATGATAAAATGCTAAAAAATGTTTCGGATAAAAGGAGACAATGGAAAAAAAAACTAGCTTTTTTTTCTGATGTATAAGTGAGCTATTTCCAAATTTGCACACGATGCTTTAAATACCCAATTTTTTTTTTTTTTTACTGATCATATAACGTACTTATGTATATTTACGTGTATAGACATTCATTCCTCCAAATATCCATACATAAGTTATTTCTTATTTCTGATTCAAAAATCCCTAAGTTAGAAAGTAATGGAGGCCGCAGTGCGGTGCAGGAAGAAAATAATAAGCGTAATCGCACTTTCACCATCACGTGCGTGGACACTTGTACTATCTTTATGCGGTGATAATTCTAAGTAGTTTTGAGTACAAACAAAGAAGGATTTGTAATAATGTGTCAACCATATCTGCCACATCCAGGGCTGATGAGGCCTTTCGCTCAATACTAGAACTTATTAGGTCGGCTGGTATACGACAAATATAGTCATGGTCTAGGCGCTACTTATATCATCAATTGCACGAACAACAATTATTATATGGTGAAACAGATTACGTAAGTGCATTGTAATCATTATCATTAAGTTTTGTGCATAGAAGGTTGAATAATTTGATTAATTAATCTATCAATGGGCAATTAATAGTGATTAAATTGAATCTAGAATGAGAAAGAAATTTATTTTTAATATTTTCTTCTCTTACGTTTCTCTTGTATTTAGGGTTTGGGTCCTGTTTCCTCTTAAACGCGCTCCGCACTTCTGGGCCATGGTTGAGCTGTAAGAGTGATAGTCATACCTCATTATTCGGTCTGACAAAAGTGGATACTTTTGGCTAGCTGCTTTCTCTCTCTCTCTCTAGTTTATTAGTTAAACATTAGGGACAGCATCACGCAGATAGCTCTCAGTGTTGCTTTGCGAACGAATATTATGAAACATACAAACAAAATATGTCTTTCGGTGGGACAGCGGTAAGTTTACGGACTTACAACGCTAAAATACGCGGTTCAATTCTCCGAAGTGGACACAGCAGATAGCTCAATGTGGCTTTGTTCTATGACAAACAAACAAAACACTTTTGTATAACTTTTCTATTACAGGAACACATATATCACTTTTAATTATAGGAGCAGGAGTACTATAGACTGAAACAGATTGGAAATGGAACGTCCTTCCGCTGGGTTACGCTTCCATTTAAACAATTTAACCCCTACCAATTAGATTGGTTAAAATCGAGGTAATTGTTTTAATATTCATTTTGCGATATATTAATTAAGTGTAATTGTATATAAAGTTCTTAAAACTGTTCTGCTACTTAACTAACTATTTATTTAATTTTTTCCTATTTTTTGCTTGGATCTGTAAGCCAACGAGGCTAATATTGTAAAATCTAGATTGTGTTAGCGAAACTCTAATAAATAAGTATAGATGTCACTACCTTAACATGGCGTGTAAATTCGACAGTGTCTGTACAATCGCATTATAATTTTCTTAGTTGCATTAGGAAATTTGTATTTATTTTTACATTAAAAAAATAGCTATATAATTGAACTCTCAAAGTAAGGATTCATGAAGTGGCATGAATGCAGTAACCTTTGCACATTTCGAAAACGTTTTTAAGTCACTTTCTTTACATATTTGATAAGAAGAGATTGTGCTATGTTACTTATGTTACTATCAGTGTTACTTATTTTGATATTGAGCAACATTGACTTAACAAAGTAGTCCTCTTATCACCAACATAGGTACATTATGTACCTATAGTTTATGGTATATTACATCGTAGTATTCTTACTCTATTCATCATTAAAATAGTTTTCCAATCTCATATAGCAATTATATTTTATTTCTTTTGGAAAAAAAGTTCAGTGGAAATAAAACAATATACATTCCTTTTGTTATTTTAGGTAATAGGATAGTTAAATAAATAATTGGAACCCGTAATATTTATTTATGTATTTTTTAAGAACACTGTTTATTGCTTCTAAATGAATGATTATATACGAGCTAACTTTCAAAGAGTGATGCGCTTTGCAATAAGTTTGTTTTGTTGAAACTTGCGCAAAGCTTCTAGAGGGCTACCTGTGCTAGCCGTCCCTAAATGGGAACTGATAGACTAGAGGGAATGCAGCTAGCCAATACCACCAACTGCTAACTCTCGGGCTACTCTAATCGAATAGTGGGATCAACCGTCATATTATAATGCCCCCAAGACTGAGACGGCGAGCATATTCGATGATAGGATTCGAACATGCGACCCGCATAGTGCGAGTCAAAAGCCCTAACCACCACGCCATGTTAAGCCTTCGTTGCAATAAGAATTATAAAAGAGCGAATAATTAAAACAGGAGTACCACACAGAGTAGATTTCAAATTTCATTATTAAACGTTATATGATGGCCTCTTATAATTTGTAGCAACTGACTGAACTGATCAAAATAAAGAGTTGTTAATTGAATATTGTACAATAATTCAAACTTGAAAATGTAATTACGCAACGTTTCAGAGAAAAGAATTATTCAGGTAATGGTTGTTGTGTAATAAACTATGTTGTGTGTGTGTGTGTGTTGCATGTGTTAAAGCTGAGTTTGTTCGGTTTAATTCCAAGAGTAGGCTGTTTAAGAATATTATCTCTCATCATTTCTAATTTTGTTAGATGTACTTGATTTGAAGCTGTGATTGAATTAATTTTGTAAAGTAAAGTTTTATATCAACATTTTCGAATAACGTTTGATCTGTTGAAGTTTTGCAAGAATAAGAGTTCCTATTTGTACAGAACACAGAGAAGACATTGCAGGACACATCTTTCAGGACGCCAATTTCAATCTTTTCAGCACACCCAGAATATAAATATATTGTTCTTATAATTATCTGCTCACCAACCTTTGTTTTTGGACAGTTAGAATTTATTATGTAACGGTGATAAACGGCCGTGTTTCTGGTTGAATTGTCAATATTCAGGCTAGACGAAACCGATCTGATAAGGAAAATTACTAGCGATTTGTTCACACATTTGCTTTACAACTGGCCATGATTAACACACTATATTTTAAATTTATTTCACAGTTAATTCTAATTGTTTCAGTTAAGTCTAACAATCGCTGTTTGTGTCTTTCTAATAATTATTTTCACTGCTAAACAATCTAATGAATATATTTTGGAAACAACTACCATACGAGCAATGAAACTAATCCTTCACTCCAAATCCCTCTTTGTGATTAAAATGGTTGAAATGTTTATAAATGTGTTATTTTGCTTAATCATATACAATATAATTAAAGCAATAAATTGTTAAAGATTAATCAAGGATCCATTAACCCGCTACAGTTTTACAAAATTTACCAAAGGTTGTTTGTTTGTTTTTTGAATTTCGCGCAAAGCTACACGAGGGCTATCTGCGCTAGCCATCCCTAATTTAGCAGTGTAAGACTAGAGGGAAGGCAGCTAGCCATCACCACCCACCGCCAACCCTTGGGCTGCTCTTTTACCAACGAATAGTGGGATTGACCGTCACATTATAACGCCCCCACGGCTGAAAGAGCGAGCATGTTTGGTGTGACGGGGATTCGAACCCGCAACCCTCAGAGTACAAGTCGAGTGCCTTAACTACCTGGCCATGCTGGGCCACCAAAGGTCCTTATTTCTCATGATTCTATGCAATTCCGTAAAAGATCATTCGTTATTCTCTTGTGATAACCAAAATCAAAAATTTGTTAAAAAATATGTTCTATTGAAATGTTATTTTCAGAACTCAAATAGCAAATGATGTATCTGGCTTTAACGTCATCCTCCCAAGTTGCTTATGCACTGCACGAGTAAAAAGTTCGTTTCTACAAAATAAATATCTTAAAAAAAGTTATCTAGTATCTTCTTATTTTTTCAACTTAATATACAACTCCTTTTCGTTACGAATGTTGTTAGTAACCCCCCTTTCTCCCCCAAAAATAGATAAAACAAAACATTTCTTTCCGATAAAACATAAGATATATCATTTTATCTTCCGAGAAAAGACTATTCGTATTTTACATTTATGACCACCGTCCCTGAGGAAAGAGAAAAGGTAAGTTAGCTGTTTCAAAGTTTTTCTCCAGAATAACTACACTGAAAATCTCTGTAATAGCATAGTCATTAATATGGTCGATTCTTATCTATATCTAACTTTAAAAGAGTGGAAATGAGCTTTGTAATCATGATTCTTTTGATAGCATAAGAACATTAGATTTTGGATGTATAGTCTCAAGTGGAAGTAAATTTAACATTCCTAAACACTGGGCTTCAAAAATAGGATTTATGGAAGAAACATTATGTAAGCTTCCCCCTTTAATTTTCCTTAAGGGTTAACTTTAATGTCGTGGCTATTTTTCGTCGATGGTCATAAGTTAGATCAAAACATTCAGGGAAATGTCTTCAAAAGAAACAATTGTATATACAGCTTTCAGGTAAATAACAATGATAAGAAATGGCCACACATTAGTTCAGAAAATATAACGAGATTATAACGACCTCAAACAATATTTTAGTGCAGTTGTTGTGGGACGCGAAAACTGTACGAAAGAATTTGAATGGATTTTATCAAATGAAATTTTCATAATCGTGATTAAGTACATGGTAC